TCCTCCTTCCCACCAGTAGTTTTGTCCTTACTTGAGTCAGTTGAGAATGAAATGAAATCTGAGGCTCTTCTTCCTAGAAACACACACACACACACACACACCCCAACTATGTAAACACTTCCAGGAGATTCCTGAGTATGTGCCATGGGGCCAAAAAGCCACAAACCACCTTAAGAGTGCTGGAAGACCCCAAGCCTACTATCTCTCCCAAATACATACCCTCCTTCATGCCTGGATGCCAAAGATGAAAATGAAGCCAGGCATGGTGGCTCACACCTGTAATCCCAGCACTTGGGAGGCTGAGGCGTGTGGACTGCCTGAGCTCACAGGTTCAAAACCAGCCTGAGCCAGAGCAAAACCCTGTCTCTAAAGAATAGCCTATAGTCCCAGCTATTTGGGAGGCTGAGGCAAAAGGATCATTTGAACCCAAGAGTTTGAGATTGCTGTGAGCTAAGACGCCACAGAACTCTACCAAAGGTGAGCAAGTGAGACTCCATCTCAAAAAAAAAGGATGAAAAGGAAGTAAGAAAGAGCAGTCTTAAAGGAAAGGAAATCAAAACTGAAAAAGTATTCTTTAGCCTTTTTCAATACCAGAACAAAGGAGAGAAGATGGAGAGCTCACACTGTTTGGGAAATAAGGATGCAACTTTTTTTCAGAAAACATCATTGTATAGAGGAAGAAAGAAGATTGGATGAGATCTCCAACTCCAGGATTTCTTGTCCCACTCTGCCAAGGGCTCACTGTGACCTTGAGCAAGTCATTTCACTTCTCTGGACTTTAAGGTCTTCACATAGAGATCAGATCACCTGCAAGGCCCTGCCCAGCTCTAGGTGCCTAGGATCCAAGGATGCATCTTTTCTCACCCTCTCCTGGACCCCAGGTCTGGCCTGGGCTTAATTCAGAAATCAGAGGCAGACGTTGATAGTCGGCATGGTGGTAATTCAGGGAGAAGGCCATCATCACAGCATGGTTCTAGATTCAACTCAGTGCCGGGAGGGGGTGGGGCATGGGGGAGGGAAGAAAACTCAAGCCTAAAAGTGAGCGGTTGAGCTCAGGGTACCAATGAGTCAGCAGTGAGGCCCAGAGGTAGAGAATCCCCCACCCCACCCAAAACATCAAAAGTAGCTGCCACTTTGTCAGGTAGGTTATGCATTAACCCCATCATGTTTGGAGAATTCTCAAAAACTGCAATTTGCCTGTGTGTTTGTATCTTCTGTTACTTATCTGGGCTCAGAATTCTGTCTCCATCCTCACCACCCCTCTCCTACTTCCTTCTTCATGATCTGACTGCAAACAACATAACTTTAAAACAAGGGCAATGGCACCCAAAACTGAAATGAAATTAGAGGAAAAGGTCAGGGACTATAGAGTAAGTTTAGAAAAAGATAAAAAGCAGACCCGTATATCAGTACATCTATACAGACCTATGAGACAAAAACCCTTACACCCAGGCAGGGCCTGAGCAACACAGAGCTTGGTCAAAGCCACAGCCTCCCAGAAACACAGCACCTCAGGGCTGGGGTGGGGGCTGGTTGAACTTATCCTCAGCTCCTCTTAGTTGCTCTCAGGGTAATTTCCCACCAGCTGCCTAACTTCTACCAGACAGCTCTGGGCCCTTCTGGAAGGTTCAAGAGATATGTGACAAGGATCTTCTTTCCACCCTTCGCTTTCTTTTGTATTTGCTCTAGGATAAGAACTGGCACACTGGCATTATGAGCCCCCTGCAACCAATACATAGGAAACTGACTAAGTTCCAGGGTAAGTGCTTTAAAACATGTGTCATTTATTCCCTCCTCTGATACTGCACTGTAACTTTATTTCCACTATACTATTTTTGTGTGCCCAAAACACAGTAGAGTATCTAGCCTAAGGGAAGTGCTTGATAAACATTAGCTGGACTAAATTAACATTTGTTACATTTTCTTTGAATACACTCCTAGATACACAAGCACATAGGTGCCCAATACATATTTGTGAATCAACAGTTAATTAGTTGATTAGTTGGACAAACTTAACCCTCCAGGCAATACCTGAGAACCTTCAAGTACATAAACTCTCAGGAATATACACAGGCATGTACAGGCTTTTTACTTTTTCCTGGGCTTCCTCATCCCTGGAGAAAGGAGGGGTCAGGGAGTATAACCTGGGATGGCTCCTCAGGGGCCCACATTTTAAATCCAATGACTCTGAAACCTGTAACTACAGAATAAAACTTGGATTCATTAAGGACTCCAGAAACACGCCCATATGAACCCAGGCATGTGTTGTGTGAACAGGTTTCCCATACAAATTAATTGCATGCAGGCATCACAGCTGACATCTATCTATTCACCAGGAGCAAATTATTAAATGAGTGATAAGTGGAGTAATGCAGACTTTTGCTCTTTAATGGCTATTTTCATCACAACTGTTAGCAAACCAAAAGTATTTTGAAAAAGAGTAAGTACCAGTAAAAATTTACCCCCTTTCTCAGGTTCAGTACAGCTGAGGTGTCAAGAATCCATCCTCAAAACAAGAGGCCAGGGTGGCGCCTGTGGCTCAGTGAGTAGGGCGCCGGCCCCATATACCAAGGGTGGCGGGTTCAAACGCGGCCCCCACCAGACCGCAACAACAACAAAAAAATAGCTGGGCGTTGTGGCGAGCGCCTGTAGTCCCAGCTCCTTGGGAGGCTGAGGCAACAGAATCACCTAAGCCCTAGAGCTAGAGGTTGCTGTGAGCTGTGTAACACCACAGCACTCTATGGAGGGCGATAAAGTGAGACTCTGTCTCAAAAAAAAAAAAAAGAAAAATATAAAAATATAAAAACAAGAAGCCACTACTTAAATAAAAAGCCATAGGCTGATAAGAGAAATCACCCAGGGGGAGGCAGCTCATCTCCTACTGAGAGACCTTAGGCAAGTCTCAGCACTTTTTGAGCCTCAGTGTGCTCATCTGTATAATGGAGTTACTACTCTCCTGCCTCACTGGACCCTCTTAATAAATGCTACAATAATACTGGGGGGGGGGGGGCTGCCCCATAAGGTCATGCAAACATATTATTATTCTAGCAATCTGTTAATCACTGATGACACTCTACGCCAGAATGTGTTACAAAATTACTGCCTCTGAGCTTACATTATCCAGGACAGATACTTGACACACAGATGAGATGAGCTATGTGTAAACTGAATCCTGTTTCAAACACTCCCTCAGAGGAGTTTCCTCAGGCAACCCGAAGGCGTCCCGGACATCAAGGAGCGTCGGCTGGGCACATTCTGTTCCACTGTAACTGGGTTTTCGAGAAAGCCAGGCAATTTCCTCGCGCGGCCGGAACCTGCCCGGAGCCAGGATTCCTGAGGTTCGGCCCAGACCCCGCTCCCAGCAGCAGGAGCTGGGGCCGGACCGCCCGCGTGCCCCTCCCGCGGTCTGGGCGGCTCCTTCCTCTAGCTCCAGCCCTGGCCGCAGAGGCCCTAGTGCTATGTCACTTTCGCCCTGCGGAGGCTCCAGCCACTGCCGCCGGAGCAGCTCCGGGCTGCTTTCTCCCTTGCCGCGCCGGCCCCTGGCCCCCGGAGACAGAGTGCCAGGCGGGCGGGCTTCGGGGCAGCGACTAGGGCGGCAGCAGCGGGCTGGGCCTGCACTGGGGCAGCCAGGCAGCCTGTGGCTCCCACTGTCCCCAGACTGACGAAGTGGGGGGTGAGGGGACCGCAGAGCGCGCTCATCTCTCCAGGGTCTGGGAAGCCGGCAGCGGGCGCGCGGGCACGCACACCCACGGAGCGCCTTGGTGCAAGGGTCAACCCTAGTGTGTCCCGGGACGGCGACATGCGCGCGCCCGCGGCACTTCCTCACCCAGCCAGACCAGTCCACAGGGCCGCCGTGTCAGGGGGCGTCGCGGACGCGGAGGGAGGGGCCGCGTGACTCTTGCCTCACGGCGGGTCGGGGACTCCGCACGGATGACAAGCACACGCATAGCTTGACCGGTCTCCCCCAGCCCGTAACCGCACGATCCCCTCTCCCGAGAAACCCGGACCAGCGGGCGACGACACACGACCCCAACAAGAACCATAAGGGAGCTGACGGGACCGGTCCTGCGGGGTATCTGGGCCCACAAGCATCCCCACTATGCCGCGGTCTGCGGTCCCCGCCCCCCACACACACGCCAAAGCAATGTGTACACACACACAGAGGGGCGGGGGAGGTGACGCCTCACTCCTCGGGGTTGGGGCGCATACAGAGCCACTAGCCATCTTTCCCCTGTGCACGCTGAACCCTACTCCTGGCTCACAGCCCCCTCCCCCTCGCCCCAACGCCAAAAACTCCGCGGAGACTAACAGAGCTAGCGCCACCCAGACAAGGGTTTGGATCCCAGCTTGTCTTTTAAGATCAATGGAGAAATGCCCGGCTCAGTCGCGCGGTCCCCGGACGCCTCCTCCGGTTGCATTCAAACACCCGCACGCGGCCTCGGAGGCCCCGGACCTCCGCCGCAGCCCAACCCCCTGCCTGCCCTCTTCAACCGCCAGCGCGGACCATAGTCACCTGCTCGTCGTCCGGATGAACTCGAGCAGGATCCCACCCCACTGCCGCTCGGGTCACTCGCCAAAGAGAGCTGGTTTTTCAGAGCTTGTCAACTTAACCCCTGCCCCACCCGGCGGATCTATTCCCCAGGCCGAATTACACTGCGGCGACAGGAATAATAAAAAAGACAAAATCACAAACAGGGGGAAATGCCCAAAGCTGAGACCGCAATGGGTCCACCGATTTGGTTTCTTCCTCGGCTCCCATCCCCCTCGACCCCTCGCGGCTCGCGGGCTCACCAGGGACGGAGGGAGGAGGCTGCACCCTGTCTAGACGCCAGCCATCCACAGACGTCCCCGAGCCCGCGGGGATGGGCGCGCACACACACGCTCACTGCCACAGACACAATCAGTCACCGGGGAGGGAGGGGCGGAGTGGAGACGCGTTCCCAGGGTCCCTCTGGCAGCCCCAAGTGCAGCAGCCCCCGGCGCCGAGACGTGCTCCCTACCTCGGCGGAGCGCGATGAGAACAGCTGCAAGTTTGGTTCGTACTAAACCAACTGCTCGATGCAGCAAATGCGAGCTTCAAAACAAAAGGGAGAGGAATCACGCTCGCTCCCTTCCTCTCCCCCCTCCACCAACCCCGGGTCGGAACCCGGCACATGACAGCGGCTACACCCCGCAGCTCCACAGCGAGCCGGGCTCCTGCCGTGCGCGCCTAAGAACACCCCTGGGCGCTAGAGATCCAGGGCCATGGCTCCCCACGGGGTCCAGAACAGGACAGGGAACGGGACAAACCCAGAAAGGGGGCTAGATTGTGAAGTGCAGTCCCTCACAGTGGGGGAGGAGGGGGCGGTGGATGGGTGCCGATACCCCACTGACAGAGGCGCAGGGAGGAGGAAGGGGGCTAATTGTTTGGCGTGGTTTTCCCGGATTTATCTATAAGCACGCGCATGTCACGCAGCCCTCCTCCCGAGTCTTCGAATCGATCTTCAAGCTGGGATGACTAAAAGAGGAGGACGGACGTAGAGATGCTCACCTTGGGGTTCTTCGGGCCGCCGCGCGAATCCCGAGTCGGGGGTGGGGGAAGGGGACAGGGAAGGGGAAGGGAGGGACCAGGCTCTGGAGAGCCGACTCCTGCCTCGAGTTCGGCACGTCCCAGCTGCGGATCGGACCGGGCGCCCCAGTGCAAAGACCCAGCAGAGAGGGGAGGGAGGGAGGGAAGGGAGAGAGGGAGGGAGGGGCGGGTAGAGGGGAGGGAGTATAGGAAGGAAAAAAAAATGTTCGCGGATCTGACACGGGGAAAGAAAATGTTGGAGAGTGACGTCCAGGCCCCGCCTTCCCCTCCGGCCACGTGCAAAGACTTGAAAGGAAAGAGGGAGACGCGAGGCCTGCTGGGTAATGTAGTTCGCCTTTCTTTCTCAGGATGGCGGGCCCGGAGAGCGGGTTGGCCCGAGGACGCTGGGGATGCAGCCTGAGCAGCGGAGAAGCCAAAACCCTGCCCCCAACGACTCCATGGTGCTGGCCCAGCTTGGGATTGGGGACTTCTGAGGTGGGAGAACTGGGGGCTTAGTCCAAGCTAACAGAAAATGTTTGGGTTTTGAGTAGGAAAGGCTTCCTTGCTTAAAGTGCAAAAATCTGTACTAATGGCAGATAAAAGGGAGCTTTGTGTATGTACTGGGGGGCCCAAGTGGCGGTAATTAATGCTGCATTAAATGCCATGCTCGCTGATTGAGATGCATATGTTATAATTAACATTTGAGCATCTCTGTGGCAGGGGCGGGATGTTGTAATTAGATATGCACTTTGCAACCAATTAATTTTTCTTTGGCCAAGCTAAGGGCTGGGATGTGGTAGCTGGGAGAATTCAATGCAGTGGATAATTCAGTAATCACTTAACCAGATCACCAATGTTTTAGTTAAAACTGAACTTGGCACAAAGAGGCCTTCAGGAGAAATACTGTAGAAAATGCTGTATGCCCCACCAGGCAAGGGAGTTAAAAACTTATTGTAGGAACTGTATGACACTATGTAACTGCTGTAGAAATCCATTTACTAATTCATTTAACATTTGGTAAGTCCTTTCCACAGACCAGGCACATCTGAAAATGCCAAGATAGCTAAGACCTCAAGGAGCTCAGTCTAATACAGGGACCACAGTCACTAAAAGAGCTGTGTGGGGGAGAAGTCATTACTTAACATAGGGTTGAGCCCTAGGAGCTATGGACCACCCACCTCCTCCAGCCAGGAGCAGCCAAACAGGCTGGAGCGAGAGAGGGTCAGGAAGACTTCCTGGAGGAAGTGGTCACTGAGCAAAGATTTTTGACAAAGGCAAAGGAAGGGATAAGCATCTGATTATGGCTACAGGGTACAAAGTCCCCAGATGGAAGAGAAGAAAGCTAATTCAAAAGGCCTCAACAATTTGGTAGAGCAGAAGGGGACAAATTGGGGAATGAAGGCAGTAAAGGAAAGGGGGGTGGCTGGACGGTGAGTATAGAGGACAGATGGAGCCTGGGATGGCTTTGCAGAAGAAGTGGGGATGCCTGTGGGCCTTCAAGGATGGATAGAATTTTGTTTGGGGTAGAGAGCTTGTCTTTTAGGCTTGAGACACTGTAGGGATGGGCCAAGTCATAGAGGGAAAGCAAAGCAGCATATACATTCACATCCTTAGAGCAACTAGTTTGATTCTTGTGTCATCCTGTCCTTCTAGAGAGAGGCAGCAAGTCCAGAGACTAAGCACCTTATCCACAGCCATGGATTGGTAAGAAGCAGAATGGATACCAAATGCTAGTTGTCTGGGTGCCAGGCTCAGGCCCACCTCCCTCCAAAAGGAACGTATTTAAGCACAACTGACTCTTCCCACTGGTTTGTCCCTTTTAGCATTTATGCCTCATTGGCTCAGCAGTGAGTTATTTTTATGCCTTAACATCTGGACAATTTCTTGGGTTTACAAAATATTAATAGTACTGGAGTCTACTCATTCAGCAAATTCTCACTTACCTTATTGTCAATGTGGGTTTTGCACATTATGTGGCGGGCATACCACCTGCAAAGGAAACAAGAGTAGAACTGTCTGGTTCTTGGCTTTGCTTTTGCTTTAAATCACACCCTCCCAGGTGAGGAGAGGCTGAGCAATGTACAGAATGTGAAACATCTGTGGAGAGCACTCGCCTCGTTTGGGGCATCTGCCTGGAGTGTGAGAGCCATGGGGACTACAGGCTCTGGAGTTTAATTTTAGGTTGGAGTCCCAGGCATGATATTTCCTGACTCTATGACCTTGCACAGCTTCTGTAACCTCCAAATGGGGTGACCTTGGGTGGCTTACTCAATAGCTTTTCTTGCCCTTGTGAGAAACAATGGTGATAACATATTTAAACTGCCTGTGTCATGTGGAAAGGGCTCAACTTTGATTCCCTTTCTTGTCTCAGGTCTTTCTAGCTCATGAGAATAATCCTGGAATTTTCCTTCTCACGAGCTGGTGATGCAGGAAATATTCTTAAGGGTGATTTATCTTAATGTGTGAACTAAGTTAGGTTTGTCATCAAGGAGCCTTGGCCGGGTTCTAGTCTTCACTCCTACTGGCCCAGCGCTCTTTATCCTCATCAGCTGACAGTATTCATGCTCTGCGGCTCCCTACCCTGCCACCCAAGGATCTCCACAGTGTGTCACCCCACTCAACACTGCCTTCTCTGGGCAGTGCCCTGGGCCCAGTGTTGCTGCTCTGTGCCCATCAAAACTTCCCTCCTGTTCTCCCTACCCTCACAGCCTGGCTGTCTGCTTCACCTCCGGTGAGGTATACATGTAAGGTATTCTTGTCATTCTCGTCTCCAACTCCGACATTTTCATCTTCTTACTGATAGCTCTCTGAGAGGCCTCTTGGTGGAATGGGGCTCTTTGAGAGGAAGGCTCCATGGACCTCTCAGACCAAAGCTCCCCAGGGTGGGAGGCCTGGGGTTTACCTGGCCCCCCACTGCCTCCTTCACCTTTCCTTCCTTCTCTGCTCTGTAATTGATCTCATGCCCAACCTTTAGGCTTTGGTCAGAAGAGCTTCTGGGTAGAGTTAATGAACTAGAGATTCCTCCTGGTTGGGGCCGGGGGTGGTATAATGACACTGGTATTGGTTTCATTGTGGCAGATTTTGAGTGGCCGGGAGTTGCCTCTGTGTGATTTGTTACCACATAGCTTAGAAATGAAAAGTCAAAATGTTTCTTTGTTGTAAGCAGTGGCTTCTCCTAAGCCACACTTGCCTAAGACACTAGCAAAAAGTAATATTTCTGCTTTCTTCCCATGCCTTCGCTCCACCCACCCGCATAGTCTTTCTAGACTACTAGCCTTTCAAGGCCACACACTTGCTGAAGGCCTGGTGGGAGACTAAACAGAGTGTGGGAGCTGAGATCAGGCTGACACCCAGAAGGTAACAGGAAAATAAAGTGCCCACTGTGTGAGGGTGAGGGTTAAATAAACTAAGAGATGCTCGGAGGCTGCAGTGGTCAGAGAAGACTTCAGGAAGGCAGATGGGGCTACATCTACTTGGAACTTCTCACTGGGAAGAGGTCATTAGTGGCCCAAATCTCTATTTTGTAGCACTGGCTGGGAGGCATTGCAGAAGTAGTGACCTTCAGTGGGAACTAGAGAGTGGCTCCGTGGTACAGTTGGGCGGTCACTGACCCTGCAGGAGGAAGGAAGTCACCAGTCTAGTGTCTACGCTCTGTTACTGTGGTGTTGTCTTGGAGAGATAAAGGCTTGATAGAACCAGGTTGAATTTCACCCATGCCTCTTCTCAGCTTCCACTACACAACCCCCAAGACCAACGCCTGAAAGGCAGGTGCGAAGTGATACCCTAAGGTTGAAGCTGGTGGTGGAGAAAGGGACACGAAGAGAGAATTAGAGCTTAGGCTTGAGCTTGAGAAAATCAAAAGTAAAATAAGACATAAGCAACAAATATTTCCTAGGAGCACACTTTACCATGAGGAAAAAGCTTGTGAAGGACTTTCCTGCCCCTGTCCTGCTGTGTCACATGTCCTCTGCTTGGGCCTCAGTTTCCACACCTGTAAAATAAAAAGGCTGGAATCTATGATCTCTAAGATTATCTTCAAATCTGAAGTTATCCCTTCAAAAACTTTACAGACTCACCAGTAAAAGAAGTTGTGAAGTTAAGTAGCCAAAAAGATGAGTTTTAAGCTGCTTAATTTCAGTATTTCAATATTCATTAAAGCCCTGAGTCCAGAGGGATCATAAAACTTCTGATCTCCTCTTGCAAGATTCAAGGACAATTAAATGAAGCCCCTAAGTCATCAGTTATTCCTCAAGTCCCTCAGAGTTCAAAGTCAGAACCCAGGGGTCAGTGGCAGGAGCACCACAGCTTTGTCCATGATGAAGAGACAGGATTTTTGTTTTCCAGGATACACTCTAGAACAACCAAATCACTCTCACCCTGGTTGGGGGGGGGGGTGTCAACAAGGCTAAATGGACCTAAGGCATATGCCTGATCCAAAGGACCACTTGCTAGGTGGACTTGAGGGTCCCTGGCTCCGTCAGATGAACTCAGCCAATCAGATTTCCTCTTGCAAAACTCTAAAGGAAGAAGTAAAGAAACTTCTGCTCATTGGTGATGGCTCATCAGATTGAGGCTTGTGGCCAAGGTGGGTCAGGTGTGAGATAAGTAAACAGAGAAAGGGGTGGGGGGAGAGATGTTTAGAGCAGCCTCAGCTCCTAACTTCCAGTTCTTAGTCACTAGTCATTCTACTGCACCTCTTGGATTCTTGATACCTCTGTATCCTTACAGTAATCCCCTTTAATTTGTGTTAGGTTGAGTAAATTCTGAGCTTTGTTATCTAAAGATTCAGAGCTGGAACAGCCTGAAAGAGGGGACGGGCAGAAAGAGGACTCACTGTGGTCCCTCTAGCTGGGAATCTTCCCCTCCTGATGACACCCTTCTCGTTCCTATCCCAGATGTCTCCCTCTTCAACCAGTTTATCATGTCTGTCTCCTAAGATCTTATTCTGAAACAGCTGCAAAATCTTTTGGCCTTGAACATGCCACAGCCTCTAAATCCCTTTCCAAAGAATAATAGCTAATATATTACTTGAGCAATTACTATTTGCCAGCAAAAAGGGAAGTACCTTTTGTTCTTTGTCTCATTTCCTGGACACAG